AATGGGAAGAGAGGAATGGTTCGAAAGATGTTCAGCAAAAAGAAGACAGTACTTCCAATCTAATTAACTATGACTAAACATTACCTACTGTGTGTACATGTTAAGAAGTAATTAACTATGACTAAAGAGTACCTACTAAGTGTACATGTTAAAGAGGAATGAATTAAAATGAAACATTACCTTCCAAGTGAAATAAGAAGTAAGGAACCATGATTAAACAACATATTATGTGTGTGATATGTGAAGAAGTAATGAACTAATAGTAAACATTAACATCTAAGTATTCATGTTAATAATAAGCAACTATTTCTAAACATCAACAGTTGTGTATATGGACAGGATCAATGAACTATGTAAAAAAATGAACTACAATGAGTGACATGTTATGGAGTAATGAACAATTTCAAAACAATATCTTCTACATGGACACATTAAGGAATAAGAACTAAAACCAAACCTTAACAAGATTGTGTACATGGCAGGGAATAATCAACCAAGACTAAGCATTATCTTCCATGTGTACAGGTGAAGAAGTAATGAACAAGAGCTAAATATTATATTCTATGTATACATGTTAAAGAATAAGAAACTAGAATCAAACATCAATAGTGATGTATATATGTCAAGGTATAATAAATTAAAACCAAGCATTATCTACCAAGAGTACATATGAAGAAGTAATGAACAAGTTGCAAACATTGCCTTCTATTTGGACATATTAAGGAGTAATAAACCAAAATGAAGTATCAACAATGACGTGTTACAATTGAAAGAGCAATGAAGTGAAATTAAACATTACCATCTATGTTTACATAGTAAGGAATAAGTGAATATGACCAACCATCATGTGAACTATGACTAAACATAATAGACTAAGTATTATATGTCAAGGAATAAGCAACTATGATTAAACATTACAGCCTAAGTACAAATTAAGAAGTAACAAACTAGATCTAAACAAAATATAACACGTGGACACATTCAGGAGTAATAAACAAGGTCCAAACATTAAGTCCATTGAGTTATGTGTTAATGAAGATCATATTATATCTAAACAATAACTTCAATAGGTTACATGGTAAGACAGGAATGAAAAGGCATAAAACAGCAAAAGGAAGTTGAAACTCCAAGTAAATGACAGATGTGGCCCTAACAGGGGAGAAGAAAGGAAACAACAAGTAGAAGGCTTATTGAAGGAGGGAAAGAAGGAATATGCTGTAGGTAGAGATGTATTGGGTGGATTAGTCACTCCATTTCGTCCTCTTCAACTTCAGCTTCAAAATCTGTGAAGAGAAATGTGTGGCAGGGAATGGCAAAAAGAGAGTCCAGATGGCAATATGCCCCCCCCCCCCACAGTGGACAATGTTACGTCATTCTTTTGAAATACATGATGGCTCTCACAATCTCAACAGGCAAGAACTTCCTAAATTGTTGGTAACTGTGAGTGATATTTGTACCCATCAGCAGAAAAATAATTCAAATTAATGAAGGTGCATTTGGGCAAGGAAGTGTGTCACACTCCTACTGTTGGAGAGTTTCGTTGCATGATACATCATCATGCAGTAGCACAAGTTCATGTGAAACACATGAACTTTACGTAGAAGTTTCACAAGGAGGTGGCATCCAAGTCTCCAAGGCAGAATAGCATGACTTCAAGAAGAAAATAGCTAATCTGTGCATGGAGGTGAGTCATCATATCAGAACTTTCTGATAAACCATACAAAAATTAAATTCTAAGACAAAAGGAAGTATTTGTAATTTATTTTCTAAAAACAGTGTCTCACAACAAAATTTTGTAAACTTCATAACCTAAAACATTATAGAAATACTAAAATAAATTATACTAATTTTTTAAAACTAGATACTATTTAGTAAGTCTTTATCCAGCTTTATGCAATTTAGTCAAGTATTTACAAAGTGAAAAAATAAAAGAATCTCTATATAAACAATAAGAACTTAAAACCTGACAATTTATATCATGACCAGAAATACTGGCTGTACACATTAAACTCACCAATGACTTGTGTAAGTTGCTGCTGGGGAAAGAAAGGAAAGGGGCAGTTTCCAATAAAGGCTTGTGTAGAATTTTGTAGGCTACTGGATGAGCTAATTCTGCGATCTTCCATGTCATTTGGAGCAGCCAGAGGAGACAAACACTGCAGGTTGGTTAAATCTGGTAGAGAACCTGTGTTGCTGGGTAATGCAATATGCATCATACTGTCTTCATTCTCCAAAGGATAAATACTACCAAAAACAACAAAATGAAATGCTTAGTTTCAGTTATTATTACAAAATACATCATATGCAGTTAGAAACACTATGTTCTGTGTTACAGGACACACACACATCACAAGAAAAAAAACAAATAAAAAACTGTATGATATATCAAACAACATACAAATTTCAAAAAACAAACATGAAAGCATAATAAAAAACACCACTAACAAAAATTTAGAAATTAGATATAATGAATTCTCAAAATTTAATATAATCCATCTATGGTAGGTTTATATAAATAAAACATTAATTGCAATATTCTTTCACACAGTATTACTCAAAACAGAAGATTACCAGAAGATTGATTTTCTACTGTGAATGTGCACTGTGATGGTTAGATGTTTATTATTCAAGTAATAAAAAATATAGCTATAGAAAATACTAAATGCTACAAATGTATCATCCACATATTACTACATTTTAAGGAAGGTGTTTTATATTACACAATGTCCTAAACTACTCCTCCATTGTCGATCATACCCATGCTGTTTGCCATAATTATGTACTAATGTCCAGCACTACAATTTTTATTGTAACAAGCTCCTGTAAAGGACATATCTTTAAAACTTTTTTTGAACCTTCCATTGTATGTGAAAATATGTTTCTAAGACCACATTTTAACTATTGTCTCAGGCTGGGTTGGAAATTGGTTTTGGAACCCTGCACATATACTCTGCTACACAAGTTTTCCCAGACCCAGGTTTATACATACACACACACACACACACATAGCAGCACAGTTTGCACATGGAATACCACTGGTTAATATGGACAATTTGTTTATTTTATGTGCAATTAGCCCTCTGTACAAACTACAGGAATTTGAGTTATTCACACCATAATTCAAGTTATTATTTTTCAGAGTATTGTGAGCATAAAACTTTCAGGATTTCCTTCAAGAAGTCACAATTTTTTCATAAGGATTTTAGAAATTATAAACACTCTCTAAAAAAAAAAAGCTTTATTATAATTCTTTTTACAAGAATTATTCAAGCTCCTGGAATGTTACCATTCAAGTATTAACATTTTAATTTTAACATGAAATACAAGTAGATACTTGCTTTTACACTAATTGATATCTATTTTTTTTACTACTTGCCACGACAAAGACCTTTTTGTTTGTTCCTGTTGATCTCTCTACTTCTTTGCCCTATTTATTAGTCAATTTTACAAAATCTGCAAACTCTTCATGTGATATGCTAAAGTGGACATAGAACTGGATGGGTGAAGTACATTTGATGAATATTCCTGGATTAGAATTCTTCCTTCAGAGAGGATAACCCACATACATAATTACTTCAGATTGTCACATTAATGAGATTGTAGGTCAAGCAGAAACTGACCATCAAACAGAAAAAGGAAGCAAAAAGAACTACAAAACCTCTATAGTGTCCAAGGTCTATTACCTTGGCATATAGTCAGGCAAATAGCCAACAGTTATGGGATTGATAAGATTATTAATTACATAGGAGATATTGTACTTAGAACAAATTTAAAGAAAGTTGTCATTGTTATTTTTTACCTTACTGAGAATTGCTCAATTTTTGATCAAGATGAAAACTGTCAATTCTTCATGAGATAAAGTTAAATGTGGTTTACATCAGACCAAACAGTTCTTTAGTGATGCACCATATAAAATGGCTAAGATGAAAACCAAAAATAAACTAATCTACAACCACAAAGCTCTGCTATCATCAACGTGAATAACGTGAAAATAAAAGTTTAGAACCCAGACACATTCCTAATCCTTGTTTGACAGAGTTTGGGATTCTTCTTTATCACTGTATCTTTATTGTATTGAATATGTTCAAGAAGAATTTCAGTTTAGAATTTTAAAATATTTTACAAACCATTTCAGGAAAGCAGAGACACAACTAAAACATTACTGTGTTCCATTCAACTTGGCAATGTAAGAAGACATTTTTCATTTAGACCAACTCATAGCTTCAATTGAAGATCATACCATTTGCACCTTTTCTATAGCAAAACTTAGCCAGTTTAATAATCACCAGGCAGTAACCTACTGTTCAAAATAAAAACAAACATACATGTAACATCTAAAATATTAGAATTATTAAATGTCTGGTTCTGTCCACTTTTCCAAACTAATCATTTCAAAATAATTTCACTCATATATTTAGAATGAAAACCTTCCTGAGAAGTTTACACTTCATCAAAAATAATAATTAGAGAATACTGGAAAAAACACACACAACACTTCTCTAACCACCTGAAGTTCTTACTATGCTACAAGGATTGGAAAGTTATCATAAAGTTACTGAAACTTAAAAATAAACCTTCTCTCACACAACAAAAATCACAGAATGCTTAAAAATGATTCAATGGAAAAGACATACAGAACCATCAATAGAATGTTAGACAAACTCAAAAACTGATGCTTAATCAATGAAAATACAACCAAGAAGCTAAAAACCAGTGGCAACTGTTCTACATTGCTTTACAGACAGACTAAAAGCCACAAATATGATACACCTATCAGACCTATGGTCAATACCATAAACTCAAACTGTTAATCATGTAGCTGATGTTTTGGTACCTATCCTATCATCATTACAAGGTATTACTGAACACCATGTCTACAACTCAAAACATTTCATTGAACAATCAGAGCCATAGGTATCAGATCTTAGAATGTCTTCACAAGTTTCTATGTCAGTCTTGTTCACTACCTCTGCTTCACCAAACAATGGCTGTTGAATGGTAATTCCCATACATATAGAACCAGCATGAAAAGAGAAGCTATTATGGAACTAATCACAGTTTGTCTATAATCCACATACTTTCAACACAACTACAATTTCTTTGAACAAACAGATGGCTTGGATATGGGATCACCACTCTCTACAGTTTTAGCACACATTTTCATGGAAGAATCCTACATTTTACAGACACTACTTTGACAACACATTTGTTACCTGGTCCTACAATCTGAACAACAAAGTCAACTCCACCATGGAAATACAGAATTACAACAGCACGGGCTCAATCCCTGGGACCAACCTCGTAACCATTTTGTGCTTGTTATAGTTTTCATGCTATAACTTTCAAATTAGTAAGCATATGTTCATGAAATTTGGAAGATTATCAGTAAACATTACAATGTTTTCACATGCAAAATATCAGATTCTTTTATCAAGTTTTAAGGTTTTTAAGCAATATTTTTTTCATGCTTTTTTCTTTGCATGTTGCCTATCCAACATGCAAAGTCATTTTCATTTTAAGATTAAAAAATACTTTTATGTATCAGAAAAAATTTCAAATTTCACATGCAAAATCTTTATAGCATCCAGATAGTTATCAAATGTTTCTTAAGAAAAAATTTTATTATATTTTATCTGTTGTTTTCATTAACAAATCTCTATACAAGTTTGGTCGATTTGATTGATCTTGTAACCAGCATAAAAACTTAGGAAATAAACATAAATTATGCCTTTTTCATTCTAGAATGACTACAAATTATAACACAAATTTATAGACTAAACAGCTTAAATCTCATATTATACATTTATATATATATATTTATTATTTTTATTATATTGACCTTTCTGCAGTGCCTGGCTAACAATACAGAAATTACAATGATGCGGCACATGTGCACTCATATTACTGTATCCAATAATATAAAACTGACCTTTTGTCTTTACAAAGTGACATGTCTTGGCTGTGTTTTAATGAACTAGTATTTTGTAAACTACTTTCACATTTCAATTATTA